TGAGATAACCGTCCCTTCTCCGCCTCTTTCATCCGTTTTGATGTTAAATTGATATAAGCATATTCTAGTAGACCAAATCCGCCATCGCCTTCTTTCGAGTAATTTTCGAATGAGGGTGCCATCGATAGTCTTGTCAGCCAGTGGTTACCTTGGGTGTTTGCTACCACTCAAACCGCTTCCCGAGTGCCTCAGCCTCCAGACACATAGAGGCGTGGAAGGAGAAGGAGGTTAACGAGATAAATTTTGGAATCCCTTCAAACTACAGATTTTTTAATACTTGTTGTAAAATTTGTTTTTGTACAAGTTTTGATTTTTGGCCCACTAATTTCGCACTTACGCCAGTGCCTTTCCTTGATGGAGACTCGGTTTTTTCTCCTTCTAGCCTTACGATTCACACTGAAACTAATTTGAAGAATCTCCCAGGACAATTTCGGAGAAAATTTCTTTTAGGCAGGTTTGATTTTTGTCCAATACTACAATTTTCGTTGAATCTGGAAAATTTCAAAGCACTTGTGATTATACAGTGACCGAAGATCAATGGCTGAAGTTAGTTTAATCTTGAGATTTCAAAATATGGTCAAAAGCACTCCCAAACTTGAGCCTATGATTAACAGCTGTTGCATTTCCATGCATATTCGTTCTAGTCATGTAATCGTAGGAAAACCAGTGGCTACCGTTCACGTTAAGAGGTACCGGAAATCATCAGTGTGGGATACAAGGGATATTCAGAAAGGAATGCTCAGAACTGGGTTAGGTGGGAACAATTTTTGCTAGTTATTTCAGGGGCGAGCTATTAAAATGTGAAGAAATTTGGGCCCTCGAGGAGAGGAATTAGGCAATGAGGAAACTAAATTTTAAAGAATCGGAGAAAATAGCAAAACGTTGATTTCCTGGATACGCTACTGGTCGTAACCAATCCGAAAATCATTTTGTGAACAGTCAGTTCCATCTTACTTACTTCTGTTGTTCCTCTAGGCTGTAACGGTGCCAATCTGTTCTTGAGACAGGTCACAGTGCAATTTTGTTGAGGTGCTGCTTGCTCACGTTAATAATTACAAAAATTCAATAAACTTCTGTAAATTAAAAATTGTCTGACGCATGAACATCTGTGGTACTTGTAACTGATTCCCGGATGTTTCACTCCCAGGTATCACATTGGAATTATGCCGTATTCTAAAAAATTTCTAAACAGAACAGGCTGGATTGAACGAAACATTTTATGCCCGTTTCCTTTTTCAGCAACAACGAAACTACCAATGTGTGTTGAAAAATACCTCATTCGTGGTTTTCACAATGCAACAAAAGTCGAATAAGTTACTAATCCCCGCCTTCATGTCGTATAATGGGAGATACCAGAATTGCCCCTCAAGAAAAGCAAGGAAATGAAGCAAAACGAACAGAATTCGACCGACGAAAGTGAAAGCAATGGCCAGCAAGATGGGGATTAGATTATCCAGACTTGGGAGATTTGATGATACAAACAAAAAACCTGGACAACCACACAGTTTAGTCAAAAAAGTGTTAAAATTAACCCAGAATCCAACGCACCAGGCTTGTCCTTGCGGTCATCCGTTTTTGCAGTAAACTTGAAGCAGTGAGACTGTTAACTGTATGAATGGTTGTCGCTTTACACTTACCCCACGTACTCAATAACACGTAAAGTAAATTATCGTATATTTTGCAGCAAGGAAAATGAACAATTCCCGTTTAGCAATCGCCCTTTGGAAATCCCCTAGCTCTTCAGTGAGCAATTTTCCTGCCAAAACTTTTATGTACTCGTACGTAGGGCCAAGCATACCTGCGAACTCAAACTGGAACTTTTAAGTTGTACTTGGACAGAGAACACTCCACAGCTTCCCAACTCCTCTGGTTCTCAAGTCAGAAATTTTCCAGCCAAAACTTTCACGTGTCCGTACTTGATCACCACATGCAGTTCACTTAAATTGTACTTAGACGGCGTCGGTCTTTAGAGATTCGACTAATTAATTTGTAATTACAAAATACTTTTTTTAGCACTTGCTTTATTGAAAAGGGTTATATTTAAAAATTCTGAAAAACAGAACAACAGATGAAAAAATGAATTTAAATATCCAGGCGCTGCAGCCCATATGGCGCACTGACAATTCATACAAGTAAAAAACAGCTCATATAAATAATGAATCGAAACAGAAGAAACTGAACAAGCATTCATTCCGGAACAAAAGGACTCTGTTGCTTCTGAGACAGACTATGTGCGCAAATTTTTGCATAAAATGATAGAATACTACAACAACAGATGGCTAAAAAAATTAGTGCAAATATGTTAGTATAAATATACCTCTAACTAAAGTACCTTTTGAGCAGTATTTGCATCCGTGATAAAAACGACGCTTTTTTAGCCATGAGCTTATTCCCCAAAACCCCAACTTTTATACATTATGCAAACATTCATAATATAGTAACTAGAGAATTACTTCTGTCCCAATGAATTTTTTATGGCTGAATTTGAAGAAAAAGGAACGCACTTTGAAATTTTCGTAAAAAAATAGAAAAATGTGATATATCCCTCGGGAAAAAGGAAATTACACAGCATTTCAGGGGCAAATACAAATCAGAACTTAATTTAAAAGTGCGCCAGGTACAGCTATGCCGGGTTCTTTGATCTTGGGCTGCATACCCCACTTAGTACGCGTTGCCTGTACGATGTATATGTGCCACCTCCTTCGGAGGAGGGAGGGAGAGGGGAGGGAGGGGGAGGACTGTAATATAAGCACAGAAAAACAAAGCAAAGTAAACGGATAAGAACACGAGTATTTAGCACAAGGTTTAAGTGTGAGTACTAGGCAAAATGGATGCCATTATCGTTGGTCCAGGCGTTCCTTCGGCTCCATAACGACTATCGAGCTGCCTCGAATTACGATCATACCAATGTCGTTCTTTCCACCATTCTTAAAAACAAAACTTCATAAGATCAGCACCAAATCTTTACTAAAACGTATTTGAAATAATACTTTAATTTGACACATTGATCCAAATGTAACTTTACGGTGGCACATCTTCACAATGTTTAGTGCGGTAGGCAAATTCTTGTGTTGGTCCGTTTATCGTTTGATCAAACGCTGTGTCCAGTTCAATAAAAAGATCACTCATAAACGATTAAATCGGCCAATACACTTCGCCGAGCTTCAATTCTCCTTCGAAGCTAACCTTTTATGTCCCAACTGGCCTCGTTACTCAC